TATGTGAAATTGAATGTAAACGTCAGCTCAAATCATATCATTGTGGGAAAATTCTCCTTCCACCAGTCCTTCATCACCTTGAACGAAATAGGGTGAATACGTCTCATACTACTGATTTACTGGTAGTCACGGAAACAATACCTAATTCGAAAAATAATCGTGGATTCAGTTTGAAGAAGCGACTGCAAGAAACTGTTAAGCAGGCCCTACCGGCAGTTGTGACTGTACATTTAAGCAAATAATAAACTTTTCTTTCATAAATATGCTTTCCAGATGGCCAGTTAATCAAGTGTATGTGAAATATTTATTCTATCTCGTTCATTCTACTTATGGACTGATTTCTCTAATGAGCAGAGCTGAAGCATTCCGTCAAGTTCACATTGCCCGCCCTGCTCTCTCCAAAAGCGATCTCATCTCGACCGGATTGCACTGCCGTTTCGGCATGGCCGACGTCCAACCAACACCGCCAGCGGGACTCGAGCCATGACAGGACAGATTGCGGTACAATCTCAACGCATCAATCACACCTTCTTTGAAATTCACATCTACCTCTTGAACCAAGCGCAATGGTTGCAGCGTGGTGTAGTGGCTAGCGTGTCGAAATCACACGCCACATTTTCATAGTTCGAGTCCCGCTGGGAATGCGAAATCGAACCGGCAGTCCACTCCAGCTTGTAGGAGAAAGCGTTTCGGGAAAGCAGAGCTATGTGAAATTGAATGAAAACGTCATTGTGGGAATATTGTACCACCAGTCCATCATCTTACAGCGGCCAACTTCGTCACACGAGACGAGCAAATCTCACTGACGTCATCAAAGTGCAAATGGTACTATCCCAACAAGCATATTCAAGCTGTTTTGAGCATACTTGCACTTTGGACGAAAGTGTGTTTGTTGGCGAGATTCAAAGGTGGATCCCACCAGAAGATGACTATACACGGCTTCCTTTTAACCTTACTAGAACATTCTGACGGACACTATCATTGAAGCATGTTTCCGATGCTGGTACGTTGAGCTTGGTTGCGTCATCATTCTTGCAACCACAGTCATGTCAACGAGTTATGCAAACTAATCGTCTTTAAACAAAGCCTAAATATAATCTTTATGACGAGTTATGCTTAGTGCAATTGACATGTCAAACTGAAATCATGTACGTGTGTGTGTGCTTGTTTATGCACCATGTGACAGACATAATCAAGCAAATTCAAGCTGACGAGTCAAGCTCCAGTTCATTTTGCCAATGGTCAATTGGCGCGGGACTTGAAATCAGTTTTTATGTGGCCCGCAGTCAATTTCAAGTTAATGACTTTTCAACAAAGAATAGGATCAAATAGAACCCTTTCCAGTTCCACTTTGCTTATTGTGTCGCGATGAGGAAAAGTTCTTCGAACCTGAAGACAGGCCCACATGTGTTGAGGGTCCTTGACAAGATTCGAGAGGGTCAGTAGTAAAAATGGACAGGATAGAAATAGAAATATATTTCGTTGCCGCAATTTGGTCTTGTTGTCAGGGCTTATAGGGCGTGAAGAAATGGCGCCTGGATTGAACTGGACACTGGGACTGGAACCGAATGAAATGGGTCAACCAGAAAGAAAAGGATCAGATCTTATAGACAATGAGAAGATCCGGATCGGAGACCCGAGTCGGATCATCGGATCGAAAGAGAGAGGGGTCAGTGTGAATAGCAAGTGTGATGAGGCCACACTCGGTTTGCCACAATAGGGCACACATTTTGACGAATGGAATGTGAACAAGTGACAAGTTGTGATGTAGCGGTAGTGGAACAAGAGGGTAAAGAGTAGATAGATAGACAATGACAGAAAGAGGAGCGATAGTGTAACCGTTTTCGGCAAAACCGTTGTCGAGGGATTAACTTCACTTGTCTCTTTGACGAGTTCGGAGAATGGCAAAACTCACTGATCATGACGACTATGATGTCGATGAAAAGTGTGAGAATGTACCAAGTCCACTTTCTGATGCTGGGAATCATGACAACTACTCTGGCAGACGACTTCGGACTAGGTGCGTTCTACTAAGTCGCCCTGACAACAAGACAAAGTTGCGACAACGAGGTCAACCCACTTCTCTAAATCGAAAGGAGACTGCGACCATACCAGAAGCTACAACATCTTGGTTTTCATATCTTCAATTAAAGAATATTTACTTATCGAATATATGATGACCAAGATGTTGTGGCATCTGGACAAGTTCTACTAAGTCACCCTGACAACCAGACCAAGTTGCTATAACGAGGTCAACCCCCTTCTACAAATCGAAAGAACACTGCAATCTAACCAGAGACCACATCATCTTGGTCTTCATATCTTCAATTAAAGAATATTTACTTATCGAATATATGATGACCAAGATGTTGTGGCATCTGGAAAGGTTCTACTAAGTCGCCCTGACAACAAGACCAAGTTGCGACAACGAGGTCAACCCCTTTTATACATCGAAAAGAACACTGCGACCATAACAGAGGCCACAACATCTTGGTCGTCATAACTTTAAGAAATATATTTCGCTCAAAATGAGGAGGCTTATATGATATTCCGGTCACAGACCTGAGATTTATTTCACCTGATCACTCTCAGGTTAGAGGCAACGGGTCAAAACAAGAATAATATTTTTGCTTCATTTGAGCTAATGCAAAACGGCTGCTAAAGAGAAATAAAAGACACTCTTGAAGCATATTGAGAAAGTCAAGAGAGAAAAGAAAGTCGAGTTGACATGGCTACTGAAGTGTATGTGCAGAGATGGAGTCTGGCCACATGATTCGCGATTAAAAAACTAAACTTTTGAGTTCATTTTCATTTCGAATGAAGTTATTTGGCGAAGAAATTCGAAGGTGTATCCCACCAGAAGACAACGATGGATTCCTCTTGACCAGTTTTCAATTAAGTTTGCTGGAGTAACAATCTTGTTGACGCTCTCTTTGAGGAAATCTCTTTCGACGTACGTGAAACTTTCCTTCATTGCCTGACAGACATTATCAAAGCAGCGG